GACTTCACAGATATGCTTGAGGACCTGGAGCTGGTGAGTTTCCTGGATTATCCAGGTGGTCTCAATGGAATCAGTAAATTCCAGAGAACATCTCTCAGCTGTGGTCAGAGGGAGATATTACATAGCTGGATTTGAAGTTGGAGCAAGGAGGTCACCAGCCAAGTAAAGCATGTGGCCTGCAGAAGCTAGAAGAGGCAAAGGAATGGATTCTCCCCTACAGCCTCCAGAAGGACAGCTGTGCCCACATCTTAATTTTAGCCCAGTGAGACACATAATTCTGCAGATTAGAAATCTGGTAATTTATCAGTGATGTCTTAAATCACTAAGTCTGTGTGGTCCTCTGACAGCAGCAGTGGAAAACTGATCCAGACCTTATTCCCTCATCTGGACATGAGCGAGTTTTCATCTTTTCTCAGAAATGTAACTAGTGTAGCCTAAAAACTACCTCTTGACTTCCCAGAAGCCCCAAGGCACCCCTGCGGGAAAACTTGGCCCTTTAAACAAAGGATTTCTAAAGGTAATTAATTCACCAAATGAATGAACTTACTCGATATCATCTGCTATTGTTTTATATAATATTTTGCCACCAGAGTTCTTTTTTCCGTAATAAAAATAGAGTATGTCCCAAGTTACTAATTGACAGATCCCAGTGACCTAGAGCACTAGCATCCAAATTACTCCTCGGTCAGAAGCTTTCCCCCCAGCAACCACGCCCACCCCGGAGGGCTATAGGGCTGCCTCTGATCCTGTAGTGAAATCACCATGGCCTCCTTCCAGATTTCTGAGTCATCCTCACCACTGCAGGTCCAAGCAGCAGCAGCTGGCCTGCAAACTCAAAACAGCAAAGCTCAAACCCAGCCCTGGAAATTCAGCTGCAGCACAGAGGTCACCGGCCCTCTGTCCTCCCACCTCATTACTTTCCCTAACATCTTCTCCATTCAACCACCCGTTCGTCTCGTGGGAGCCATGCAGCTGGCCAAACGACATGCTGCCAAATGTAATCCATGGGTGCAGTGATGTGCTCTGGCTACAGAGCCGCAGCTACTTAACTGATTGACTCTACTCTCAAAAGGGCGTTTGAGGGCATTTGTTATCATGGAAATATTTCTATTGAGCAAAACATCTGGGGGAGGCAGCTACTGTCCTGACAACAATGAAGTCTCATTAGTAAGGCTGGTGCCAAGCCTTGTGGCCATTGTCAAGATGGTTTTCTTAGAGCACAGACTGAGCTTCCACTTCTTCATTCTTACTATCAGCTGCAGAAGGTATACCCTCAGGGAGAGCAGTTCCCAGGGAACAAGGTCAAGGCAGATCCAGGAGCAAAGAATTGCTTTTGATGATCTTCACTGCATCTACTCAAAACAGAAGCCCACCAAGTAAGCCTCCCAGAAGATTCATCTAGAGATAGAGAATAACACTTTTTAAAGGCAAGAGTATATATACATCGGGGACTTGCACACAAGAAGTGGTGCTGGCCCCAAAGAGGTCTAAGTGCAGGAATGGACAGGGAACCGGCTGCTATACAGAGGGAAAAAGCCTGTTTTAGGGTGGCCCAGTCAGCAAAACCCATCCCCCAGGGAATTGTCTCAGCCTTCTCTCCTTGTCATCATCCACCTGTGTTAAAGAGATCTACCATGGATGCCTGCTGCCTGACAAAGCGGGACCATGACTTTGCCATGGAAAACTGTGCTTTTGACAAATGTCAGTAATTCTGGGTCTCAGGAGACCCCAGACAGAGGCTTCCCAGGGTGGCCACAGCAAACATGTCAAGGAATTTCCCTCTGGAGCAAAGTCAGAGGGGAAGGAATCGGCCAAGGTCATTGTGGGCAGCAAGGAGCAACCTCCAGCCTGAGCCATATTTTCCCTCTCAAACATGTGGGAGCGTAAGTAGTCACCCCTGACCATTTATCAATACTCAGCACCAATGGGTATAAACAAGAACAGGTAGGATGCAGAGAAAAGGAACCATCAGAGGGGACACCAGGCAAGCTTAGAGGGCCTCTGTAATAAGCCCTTGAAGGCTGAACTGCAGAATCAGCAAAGACATCTTGATAAATCCCAGCTGGTTAGAGACTTTGTTCAAAGCCCTATGAATGCCCAGATCTGGCATGGGCATATTTTGGAAGGCTTTTTGTATTTATTTAGCTTTCAAAATGACAAAATTGTTTAGGATCCACATTCTGTGTTCATGAGGACCTCTACACAATCATTAGGAATATAAATTAAAAAAAAAAAAAGAAAAAGGTGTCTATCTTTTGACCTTGAAATCCTGTAACAATGCCTCCTCTCTGGTCTTCAAGGATGTATTATAAAAATGCTCATTGCAATATTACCAAGTAAAAAATTAAATGGGGAGACAGAGGGCAAGAAGCCCAGCCAGCAACTGGAGAATGAAAGGTCACATAAAAATTCTTTTTACAAGGGGAACCTGAGTGGCTTAGTCAGTTAAGCACCTGTCTTTGGCTCAGGTCGTGATCTTGGGGTCCTGGGATTGAGCCCCACATTGGGCTGCCTGCTCACCGAGGAGTCTCCTCCTCCCTTTTCCCTCTAGCTTCCCCATTGGTGCTCTATGTCAAAAATCTTTAAAAAAAAATTTTTTTTTTAAAGATAAGATGTTAACAAAGAAACATTCACTTGTTAAATACAGGATAGATTTTTATTAGCATGGAATCAATGTCTATAATACATTCATTTTTAAAGCATTGTGCAGAACATTGTTTTTGTTAACTAAACTGCTTTCCCACAAAGGAGCACAATGAGGATTTTATGTAGATTCCTGATACCACCTTGAAAAATGTTTTTCTTCTCTCAAGGAGCAAAGAGGGCTAACAATATCATTTGTTTTTTAAGCCAGTAAAGAGAAAGGAGAAAGAAGTAAAAGCTGGCAGATTCCTAATTAGTCATTCCTTTAATTTTTTTTTAATAAAAAAATATGCCTTGGAGGATCCCAAATGTAAACAAGAATTGTGATCGGATGTCATCATGGATCCACAATTTCAGACAAGGTAATAAAATGGTATTTTTCTAAATTCCATTTAGAAAATAAAATCTGTTTGCTAGAATAAGAGTACCTACGGGCACTCAACCATAGGCTGCAGGGAAAATAATTGCTCGCCCCCAAACCCCAACTGCCCTGTTGGCTTTAGGGTTGGGAAATTCTGAATGGCAGACATGACAGGATCCTGTGTCTTGAGGCAGGAAGGATGGCAAGTAAATACCCGAGTACTGTTTAATACTACATTTGAAGGGAGGAAAAAGCTGTAGCTCTGTCCCCTAGCATCCTAAGATTTGTCACATTGTGATTTTAAAAAAAAAGTACAGTCTGGTACAAAGAGGGGGACACGGCTCAAATCTGGAATACAACACAGGCGCAGAAGGCTACAGTCCATGGCAGATGTGGCCAATATGAGGACTATCAAAACAAAGGATCAGCAGGTCCCTGTTTAGGTATCTTCCCCTTCCTCCTCTTCTTTTATTTTTTTTTAAAGATTTATTTATTTATTTGGGGGGGCGGTGCGGGGCAGAGACACAGAGGGAGAAGCAGGCTCCATGCAGGGAGCCCGATGTGGGACTCGATGCCAGGTCTCCAGGATCACGCCCTAGGCTGCAGGCGGCACTAAACCGCTGCGCCACCAGGGCTGCCCCCTCCTCTTCTAGTAAAATAACAGATTGTAAATTACTATTAGAACTTTGTCAAGTAAAAAAATATTTTAAGAAATAAAAACCTGTTGGAGCAAAGAATGTTTTTTTAAGATACTTATCCAACATCTTCCGCCCCCATTTGCTCTCTCCCATTACCACAAATAATTGCAGACCCCAGAGAGAAGATCTTCTCAAGTCCACAAAAGGCCAGGAAACGCCTACCATTGTATTTACTTGTGAAGGCTTCTAATTACCAGAGACCAATATGACCACTGTTACCACTCTAGTGTTTGCTCTGGGATTTGTCAGCAGTGCCTATCAATTCATGGCTCTTCAGATAGGTTACTCTAGATAAGCAAATGGAAGAAAAAATTACTTTGTGAGGTTCATTTAACAAATGTTTTTTGAGCTCAAAGCTGAGAGCTGCACCCTGGGAATACAAAGATAGATGAAGCATAATCCCTGTCCTCGAGAGGTTCATTTCTACAAAGAAATTGGCCTCAAACAAAAGAAAAGAGCCCAGCTAGAGGGGATGCAGCCAGAAACAGGTAGAAAAGGACACTTCAGATAGCCCTCCAACGAGCAGCTGGGATGTGCACATCATACTCCATGGGCATCGTATCCACAACCACTCCGTGTGCTAGGTGACAGTCCTCTCCCTCCTTTTGCTGTTGAGGAAACAAATGCAGAAAACAGAAGAAACTTATCACTGGTGCCCATATGAGAAACTCAAATATTCGTTTCAAGAATGAATGTATAGTCTATCAAATAACTGAAGATTCGTTTCAAGAATGAATGTATAGTCTATCAAATAACTGAAGAGACCAATCCTCTTTTAAGTGCCAAGACAAACGTAGGCAAGGATCTAAAAGAAAGAAAGAGAGAAAAAAAAAAAAAAAAAGAAAGAAAGAGAGAGAGAATAGTGGGGAGGAGTTGTCTTTAAATGAGTCAGCTACGGCCTCTCTAAAAGGGAGGGTAATACGAGAATAAGACATGAATGAGGAAGAACACAGGGGAGAAGAGGTCAGGCAGAGAAACAGCACCTGCATTTGCCCCCATAAAGAATCTGTTCCTGTAGGTTAGTAAAGACGGAGAATCAATATTTGGTGCTGGTGGTAAAACAAAACAGCTCCAAGGAGGCAGAATCAGAAGGCCCCTCTACCTTTATGACTGCTGGGGGCAGAAAGGTCATGTCTGTGGTCACAGCTGCCATTTCGAAGGCTCCTGGAGCTGGATGGGAAAAAGGCAGTCCCTCAGGCGGATCTGGCTGGATGTTGGGATTACTGACCACAGCCCTCCAGCCCTCAGATCCACACATCTACAGTTGCTTGCAAAGTAGAAACATGCAGATTACTTACAGTTTTCAACAAGTTGATCCAGGAATTTGTGGGCAGCAAGACATCCAAGGGTCTGGGAACCCAATCCAGGTGTTACCCTACAGCAGTGCGCTGGCAAAGAGGAGACAAAGGACATGTGTCAATGCAGATGGCCACATTAGTGGGTGCGCAATATTCTCCCAACACTGAAGGACACCAGTGGGGTTCAGATGAGAAAGTGGTTAGAAAAGGAAAACCTGAGGCAAGTGGTCTCCAGGCACTGTGCAGTTGTACAGCTGGTAACTGCTCTGCCCTCAGTCTGGGGAGGGGCACCATTCTACTTCCAGCAGCTCTACAGCAGCCTCTCTGCAAATCCCCCCAATATGGGGGGCCCTGGCAGACGACTGTCCAGAGTCCTTGGAGGTCACTGGACCTTTCCTGTCTTTACAGAGGAGGAAAAAAATCAAGACTCAGAGAGGAGCTGCCTTGCCCAAAATTAGCAGCAAGTAATGGCAACCCTAGGAATGGAATTGCAGACCCAAGTCTATAAAGCTTAAATTTACCTGTAAATTACTTTCCTTAATAAAACTCAGTTTCTAAATGTTACTCTTACTCTGTCTGGCTCTTAATGGATGAAACCAGACAGAGCAGCCTGCATTTCCAAATGTTAACCCCTCCCCTAAATTCTCCCCCCATACTCCCCAAAGATTTCCAACAGCCAAAGTGAAACTCCTGGTTTTCTTCAAAAACAAAACTTAAAAGCTTTCACACTGGAGTATGAGAAGTCTAAAAACTTGGGTTTAAAAAAAAACAAAAAACTTAACACCTAAAAAGTCTCAATTTATGAGACATAAGGAACACAAGGCCAAAACCAAAGCTCCTTTCCCATACATCAGGTTTACAGACCCAAGAGACCAGAAACCACCCAGGAAATGCTGAGACTCTAAGCAGATTTTTTTTTTAAGATTTTATTTATTTATTCATGATAGAGAGAGACAGAGACAGAGACACAGGCAGAGGGAGAAGCAGGCTCCATGCAGGGAGCCCAACATGGGACTCCATCCCAGGACTCCAGGATCACGCCCTGGACCAAAGGCAGGCGCTTAAAACACTGAGCCACCCAGACTGCCCTAAGCAGGGCATTTCAAAAATGGGTGGGCTAAGACTGTTGCCAATGGTCATTTTGTTAAAATATGATCAAACTGCTAATTCTCTAGGAAATGAGTCTCCTGATTACATTTTTAAAAATCAACCTTCATCTAATTATATATTAAACCGTAATCATCTAAATAGCTCTTTCCCTGGGGTTTTAGTTCCAGCAGACCCTGACAAGTCAATGTATACATGGACACATCACACCTAACTTTGCAGACCAGCAGTCAACTCGTCCATAAAAAAGAAAATGAATGGAGTAAAACTCCTGTGTCCCTCAGCTGAAGTGCTGAAACAAAGCTGAAAGTACCTCACACAAGTTAGCTCACACAAAGCCTAATTACCCCCCTACTTTGAAGACGTGAATGTCAGTCATTGTAAGTTTAAATTGCCGTATCTCTTAAGGAAATAACTAGGAAGTTGGTAATAACAATAGTTGTATTCTGTTTCTAGGGAGTGAGCTTGAGCAGTGACACATGTGCCCCCACCCTCACTAAATGGGTATTTTGGATGTATTTCCCCAGAGTCCATTATTTATAAGGCAAAAGTTAGGGTTTCTCTTGCATCAATTGGAACTTAGGCAGTGAGGTCATTTGTTTTGAAACTACAGCAACCATCCCAATTTTTCCCCCATTTTGGCATTCTAGTTAGTTACTCTGGGTCAAGAAAAAGAGATGCAGGTTTCAGAGAGAATGTAAAGCCTGCGAGGCCACCGGCAGCATGGTTAAGAATTCCACCCCGGACAATCCACGGTATAACGAACCGCTCATTTTCCTTTCAACACTCAGGCACGCTCAGATGTAAAAAGTCAATGCAGACACACAAGCCAACCCAATATATTTCAAGAATCTTCAACAGCTCCAGCATCCATTTAAAAAACAAAAAACACAAACTTAACGCAATTGCTACGTTATTCCTTATCCTTACAGAGGAGAAGAATCCACAAACTTCTCTAGTAGGACCACGGACTCTTTCACCCAAGGGAGGATAATGCATACAGTTTCAAGGAGTTCATAAGTTTCTCTATGTACATCTAGCTGAGGACCCCTGCTGAATTAAAATGTTTTGTAATTCTCTCCGAACTTTCTACCACTCCTTTGTAAACCGGGGTGTGAATGACAACCCCATTTACAAAGAAATACACAAGAGCAGGGACAACTGAGGAAGTTGGTTTCTAGTAGCACTTTCGTGGAGAAAGACCCACAGCGAGCAATGCTCACAACACTCAGAGGCTCTGCTCCTCTAGGGATGCTTTGCCGAGCAGTTTCACCTGGAAGCTTCCAAAGCTATGTTCCTGATTGATTTGGTGGTTGAGTTTTCAAAACCAAGAATGAACATCAGGGAACAAAAATACACATTATTTAGGAATACATATATAGGTACTAACAGTAAAGAAAGCAAATAGGTCAAAATAAAAAGTTAAGACACTTGTCACATCTGAGGTGATAGGGGATCCTGGGCTGTATTTGTAACATTGATTTCTTAACCCGGTTGTTGGCTTCACAGATGTTCATTTCATTTTACTCTTCAAGTTGTACCTCGACATTTTATGTGCTCTTCTATGTGTAGGTCACAAAGCAATTCTTCCTTTTTTCTTTTTGGGGGGTAGGGGAGTTGGGGTCAGGTCAATGACAAGGACTTCCAACCCCCATTTGAGACAGGCCACTAGGCCTGTGAAATGAGGTCTGTTCTTGTGAAAGGGTGGGGCTCACACAGGAACAGTTAAAATTCTGGCCCCGGGGACACCGTCTATAAATACATTTTCATTTTTAAATGTCCACGCCCTGGGACAGTCCTGAGTTCTGGGGCTGAGGCCACGCTGACCTCCAGTGCTGCCTGTCACTCTGGGAAAAGCTGGTGTTGGGTTTCTGCAAGCCCAGTGGTCTTTCCTCTTTTAGGCTCTGCAAGCCAATTTCCCGTGGCACATTCTGTCACCATGAACCAGCTCCAGCTGAGAAGGGAGTGAAGGCCCAGAGGCATGGGCAAGTTTAGAGGAACACTTGACTACTCCCTCCTCAGCTGGATACAAAGGCCAGGGTTCTTACGTGTTCTCCTCCAGGTGTCTCATCAATATATTACCTTCCTCGGGAGAATTCTGCTCATTCAAGAAGTGGTCAAGTCACCCACTCATTACAAAAATAGATGAAGGGTTTGGAGACATGAACAGCAGGGTCTCAAATCTTAGCCCTTTCGACACACCAATATCATCTTGGCCAAATAAGGAGAGCATGCAATTCAAAAACGAGCCCTGTTTTGTCATCTCCCCAGCAGATAAAGCTGTCACTTTTATTTTTTGGTTATAATAGCCAAACATTGGGGATCCCTGGGTGGCTCAGAGGTTTAGCACCTGCCTTGGGCCCTGGGCATGATCCTGGAGTGCGGGATCGAGTCCCACATTGGGCTCCCTGCGTGAAGCCTGCTTCTCCCTCTGCCTGTGTCTCTGCCTCTCTCTCTCTCTCTCTCTCTCTCTCTCTCTCTCTCTGTGTCTCTCATGAATAAATAAAATCTTAAAAAAATAAAAATAGCCAAACATTGGCATTGTGACATCCAACATTTTAACTAGTTTTGGACCACTTGAACATATACCCTGGGCAGATGGCACTGTAGCTTGCATTTAATAAAGGAAGTGCTGTAGTCTCTCACCCCCATTAGGAGTCTCTTCTCGCTCACATCTGTAGTTTGTTTTTTTTTTTAAGATTTTATTTACTTATTCATGAGAGACAGAGAGGGGGGTGGGACAGAGATACAGGCAGAGGGAGAAGCAGGCTCCAATGCAGGGGGCCCGGTGTGGGACTCAGTCTCAGGTTCCAGGATCATGCCCTGGGCCGAAGGCAAGCGTTAAACGACTGAGCCACCCAGGGATCCCTCACATCTGTAGTTTTAAAAAGCAAAGCAAAAGCCAAAGACTACAGAACTCACTCTTTAATAGGTCACTTTCTTCAAAGTAAAACATTCCACTGGTACCTGCCATCTCTCGAACACAAGACAGGCATGGCTTTCCTGTGTATGCATATGCATAGATGCGAATCTGTATATGTGTGTGTGGACACACATCCATACAAGCCCAACATTCTTCTTGATGGATTCAAAACAATAGCTTCCAGGGAAACCATTGCTGAGAGTTCAGGAAAAGTAAAGGCCTGCCAATTCCAGAAGGACAAAGGGTTTCAGCAACTAACAAGGGAACAAAATGATCTCATGGCCCTTTCCCACTGAGACTATAAAGTGGGATCTTTCTCAAATTCAGAGGGCTCACTTACAGGCACAGTCACTGTTTCCACCCAATGGGATCCATGTGGGAGTATAGCCAAACCAGGAAACAGATCCAGAGGTAGCTTTTTGATGTTTAACCCAGACAATCTGCAGAACAAGCCTCCTCAGCCAAGAGGGGGGCCGACATTCACGGTAAGAAGCATGACCCTGGGGTTAGTCACTACATCTAACAGCTAGTTCCTTTAAATCAAGGCCTGGGCCAGGACTGCAAGTAGACCCTCCAATGACAGCCCTGCATTTCTGCAAGGGCATCGGACTGGGATCAACTGTTATTCCTAGTGATTTCCAAATGCCTTCAAGAACACAAGCAGGAAAAGGCCACATGTTGCCTCTCCCTACATGCCCCAGCTGATGGGATGGTACAGAGTCCCCAAAGGGTGGGCAGGATGCATGAACGTAGCTCTGTTCCTATAGCCCTCGTGTTTGTCCCTTTTATGACCCACCCAGAGGACAGGCACTGTGCTCAGTGCTAGAAGGCAGTAGTTCCTTTTAAGGTTAAAAAGTTTTGAAGATTCTTCCTTGCAAATGCACACACACGCGTGCGTGTACACACACACACACACACACACACACACACACGAAGCTGTACTTCTGGTATCCTTGGAGATAGAAGAGTAAGGCAAAAATGCTCTAAAATAAATTTTTAATTAATCCCACTATCTCCTACATACATTTTTAAAATAGCAAAGCAATTCCAGGACAATTTT